GCTAGCGGCGATAAAGGAGGACCCTCTCGGTGCGGACCTCGTTCTTGCGCTCCTAAGCATGGCAGTCTCTTCCTACAGGTGCCAGCAAAAAAATAATTACAAGTAGCTGTGTCTGTGAACAGATAGCTGGTTGGGTGTTTCCCGAATAGAGGGAGACGTTTTCCTGATGCCGCCTTGGGGAGTTGTCCTGATGCCGGCGTGAGGATTCGTCCTGATGCTGCCTTGGCTGCCTGTTGGCAACTATTGCAGCAACATACATGCATCTCTCATCCTTGGTGTGCAGTATTCCTTCACCTCCGGTGTTGAGCGTGATTCAGCTCATGACTCCGGTGTATCTCGATTGATTGAGCGTGGGAATTGTAGCTCCGGTGTGCTTCCTCCTTGCCGCCCCCCCTCCACTCCCCTTACCCGGGATGCCTTACCCACGACATGGTTGGATTAGCACAGCAGATGCAAGAATGATGACCAGCTCCTGATTCATCCTTGTGAAACACATCTAGCCTGGGCCGGCGAAAACCCGGCATATCGCTCCGGCGCGGTATTATAGGGGTTCGAGGTCAATAGTCTAACGACAACGGCATGCGTTTTCATGAGTACGCCCCCCCCACCCCCCCCTTCGATATTTTTTGGGTCAGACGAGACACGGTGTCGACGCCGTTCCCCAAACAGTTGGAGTCACCGGGTGGCTCGAAACGCGCGTACGCTGCCTTTATTTCGTGCTTGGAGGGCATCCCCAGCATGCTGGAGGTGGGCCCTAGTCCTTGCCGTGTCATGAAGATGAATATACCCTCGTCGTTGACAACAGCAAGGGTATTGCTCTACTACTAGTGCTTATGATGGTGCTCGTGCCCCCCTCCGGAGTGGAGACAGATGGATGGAAGGGGCGGAGACAGGTGAAACCTAGGGCAGAAGACAGATGTAATCTAGGGGAGAAGACAGAAAGATGGCAACACGACCCGTCTGATTTTCTGGTGCACATGGCGCTGTTGTACCTTGGGTTCTTGTGCCTACTGTAGCGCTATTTGTTTTTACCTTTTTTTCTTGTGCATGAGCGCTAACGTTCGTCGAACAATGACCATGCTGGCGACGGAGATCTGGCGAGGCATCTACTGCCCTCACCGGCGATTTTGTTGCAGTTCGCCCGCAAGGTAAAAACAATGACCAACCCGCCCCTGATAACGCCTCACAGACTTGGACCGCCCCCACCTCCACCCCCACCCCAGCGACGCCCGCTTTCCCTCTCTCTCTCTCTCTCTCTCTCTCTCTCTCTCTCTCTCTCTCTCTCTTACGTGTGTTAACGCACAGATGTCCAGGTGGACGGACGCAGCACAGGTGTTGAAACTTCCCCCGGTAGCCGTCGTCGCCCTCCACTTCGTGCTGGTGCTTCAGCCGGCGAAACTGCGCAACCGCGCATCGAAAAATCGCGCTCGGTCTGCGGCGACAGCGAGCTGCGGCGCCAAGGCCTCGTCGAGTTGTTCCGCGTCCTCCGGCGCGGGCGTCGCCGGGTTAAAAGCGCGCTTTCCCGCCGCTGGTTTGGGGAATATGTCGACTGCAAGCGGTAGGAGTGGTGCCGGACGGGGTGGGGACGGTGTGGACGGTGGTGGTGCGTCTACCCAGCTTGGCGACGTACCGACGTATGCCTTTGACGCGGTGCTGCCCGGCGATCCCGCTTTCGACGCCCAGGTTCGTCTGCGTGTTTCTGTTTCTCGTGTTTGCCTGTTGTTGGTGCTGTTGCTAGTGGTGTTGTTGCTGCTGATGATGATGTCAGGGGGAATGTTTTGATTCGGTGGCGAGTGCAGCCGCTACGGTAAGTGCGCTGGTTTTTACGCGTACCGTAGCCCAACATCCATCTTTCGCCGACCCGTGCGCTTGCCCTGATTGCCCGGCACCAGTAGCAGCAGCGGTAGCAATACAGTACCTTGATTAAGGATTGGCGCCCCCCGACGCGGAGCAGACTCACAAGCGCTTGACTGGAGGACATGGACATGCCCACGTCCGCACTCCAAGTCTCGCCCACCCCTCGGGGTTGTTGCTGCCGTCAACGTAACGCCTCGGCGGTTGTGTCGCCTTCCGACGACCAGACCAACCGAACAACAACAACAACAACCGAATAAAGTACGACGATGACGACGACAGGCAGAACTGGGGGGGTCCGAGGTCGCGTACCACGGCTCGAGCCCCGAGAATTTCCACTCCATCCTCAACACCGGGCTCCGCGTGATGAGCGGCAGCAGACTCATGAAGAACGGCGCGGTGTTCGGAAACGGAATGTGAGATCAAGGTTTGTCTGCTCGCGCGTTCACGTACCACTTTTCGTCAATCGATTCCAAGGGTTTTAAAGATAACGGTGTTTTTCGGCGGGCACATTGTCGGCGGTACAATTAATGCCATTCGGCGGCAATTGTCTGTGGCGGTAGGCGGTAATGCGTTCCGTAACGACTGTGGCGGTGGCGGTAAAACATGAGAAACGACGGTCAAACGGCGGACTACCGTTACCACCCACCACGGCGGTAATATTTACCTGGTGAGCCCTTGTTTGCATTATTTCCGGAAACGCCGAGGCTTTTCTCCAGCGCCACGTGTTCACCACCCTGCTGTGACGCTCCCCTGTGTATCCTTGCCGTTTTTTTCGTACGATTGCGACTAACCTCGCGCCCCATCTGAATCCTGTTGCTGTGTATTCGCGGTGCATCTCTGGGTGCGGCTGGGTCGATGAAACCGAAGTTACCTCTCGGGGAGCTGCAAGGCGGCCGCTTCCTTCGCCTATCGCGGGGACGGAAGCGGGACTACCGTGTGGCCATGGAGCACTTTCGGAGACAATCACTCCGCGTCTCGTCTTGCTGATCTCGCCGCCGCCTCCGCCGTAGCATATGATGTTGCCTCCGCTTCTGGTGTTGCTGGCACTCCTGGCGATACGAGAGGCGACTCCCCTGCTGGTGCTGTTGCTACTGCTAGGAGCGGCAGTGTTTCGGTTTCTTCCTCGGCTTCAAACGCCCGGTACAATAGGTTTCGACACCGTCTGGTGGCGAAGTGTCGCGTCCTGAACGGCGACGGGGTCAAAGAGGTGAGGCAGACGTACTTGCTGGTTATCTTGTGTTTAGCTTTCATTGGCTCGGCATCATCTTGTGCGGCGTTGGCGTTGGTGTGGCGGGGGGGGGGGGCCAAGAGAGAAGCTTTGAACGAGAAATGGTCTTGATTTCCGTTATGTTACACGCCAACGCCGACGCCGCCCACGTCCCCCCTGTTTTCCTTCTTACCAATCACGCAAGATACTCTGTGGCAGAGTTTCTTCAACAGTTCCGTCCAGCGCGTTGAAACGACAACTGTTTTTTTTTTTTTGCTGAACCTTTCCCCTCGACGTGACACTAGCGCCACCGCGGTCGCTAAGAAGTGTCGGGGTACCTACGATTCTCCGCTGAAGCGCTCGTGTAGCGTTGTCTATGTAAGGTCACAAGTTTTAGCCGCCGACCCTGGAACAGCAAGTTAATTAGCAAGTGTTGGCAGGTGCTAGGTCCGACATGATCACAACCAGTGTCAAGGGTATTGTTCGTTGTGTTGCACCCCCCTGCTACGCATCGCGGATACAGCGTCCTAAAAGTTGTTTTCTTCTTCTATTTCTAAAAAAAAAGGACGCTTCTCTCGCGGCTGAGGTGATCTGCCACTCTCACCTATTCACGTGGTCTTGCCAAATGTAAACCACGCTTGGTGGTGCGTACTCCCAATCGGGGTTCACTGCGAGCATTCTTACGGTGTAAGTCGTCGAGTGTAGATGTGCGGTGGCTGGGAGGTATCGTTCTCCGCAAGCTCTCCCGCCGTGCCCTTGCCGTTCCTGCTGCCCGGGCAGATCGAAGGCAGCGGTAAGGAAGCGAGCTACTTCGTCGTGTCGGACGCGTCCCGGGTGCGCGTGGAGGCCATCCTCCTCTTCCACGAAACCCAGCCGTCGTCCCAGCAACACGCCGCTATTTATAGTGCTTCCGTCGACCGTGCCACTGCAACCATTAGCAGCGGTGTTGGCGACAGCGGGAAGGAGAGGCCGCGAGCCGCACGGGGTAGGCACCGCGGGGCGAGCGAGAGCAGCGGCAGCGACGACAACGAGGGGGTGTCTTGGTCCCGGGGGGTGCGTAGCTTCAGGGGTCACCTGCGCAGAATGCTGTTAGAGGCGGTGACTTTCGCGGCGGTCTTGTGGTTTATTTTTTGTTTTTGCCGGGTCTCCCCGATACCACTCTGAAGCCCAGCTAGTGGCTCCTGCAGCTGGGGAAGAGTTGCCAGCGGTTTGGCGATGCGCGTGCGTTGTGAGTATTGAGTGATGAACCTTGCGTCGTTGCCGCCGTGGCGAGCGCATTTGCTGTGTGGCAGGTGGGAAAGAGTAGAGACTGCTTTATATTGTCATTCATGAATTTTCCGACAACAAGACGCGCGCTGGCTTCTGATTGTTGGTTCGGAGCAACCCAATGTCTTGTACTGGGTTGTCTGTGTCGTACACTCTAGGCATGACGAACAAAATTGACCTCCATGTGTCCTCCATAAAAGGAAGTGGTAAGCGTACTGCAAGAAGCAGCGTTGGGCCATAAAAGGTGGCGGTGGTACTGTTAGTATTGGTGTGTGCTGTGGGTTTTGAGAGCGAGACAAAGAAAGAGAGAACGAGAAAGAAAGAGAGAGAGAGAGAGAGAGAGAGAGAGAGAGAGAGAGAGAGAGAGAGAGAGAAAGACACACAGACAGACACACACACGCACACAAACGGCGATTTCGTCACGAGGAAGTGCCTTCAGATACTGTTTGGGGTCCATTGGCACACTCGATTTCCAAAAAAAACGACGAAGCGGGGGTATAAACGCGCTGGNCCCGCCGGCGTCTATGAACATCACCCTTTGTTCGAAACAACGTGCTCCTGTGCCGTCGTTTGTGGTGATTGCTTGTTGCTCGTGGCCATGGCCGCAGGAAGTCAGCGAAACGCCTGCACAAGTGATGGCAACGACGACGCCCTCCCCGGACGCAAACTACGGTACCCCATCGACATGTTCTTCGCATTTAAGAAAAACAAGAAGCAACCTTTGTGTGTACTTGCCATTTGCCATTCACACGCGCCTCTCGTACGTAGAAAAATGTGACTTGTAATATTTCATCAACTTGCAACATTGCCCCACCTTGCTCAGGACCCATTCGACCCACCGACAGACCAAGGTACAAGCGCTGGTCTACATTGGCAACACCGCCGCGTATCGCTCCACGCGAGGGTTGGTTTTGCGCTGGTCCTTGCCGCCCGCACTCACACCCTCGACGAATTGTAGTGCGCTTTACCAAGCTTTGCTATCTCGCTTTAAAATGCGGTTCTTCGACACCAGGGAGATCTGACTAACCCTTGACACAACAGCGTTTCGGTTGAAAGGAAACACACCGCGTTTGGAGTTGCGTTTTTCTGCCCACTCCCGTTTCGAGCGATATAGAGTGCAACGCTGGTTCATCAACCTTCATTCTTGATGTCCAAAGCCACGATTTGTGGAGGAGTGCATATCTGAAAAAGCACTTAACCATTGTCGACGGCAGATGATTCAACCACCGACGACGTAATGTGTACACGGTGGGGACTGATGCCTCGTGCTGGTTATTCGATCGAGCACTCCTAGCGCAATGTGCAACAACAGCGTCGTCTTTCAGCACCATATTCTATCTACCAGCGCCCTCCTCAGAAAGATGGGCAGATCCTAGTGTAAATGGCAACTACCAGCTGCAACCAACCAGGACCTCGCCTTTTCTCGTTCAACCCTGAAACTACGGTACACGACACAATTGAACACCCCATGTCGGGAAATAGCCGTCTTCAAAGACAACCGGTCCAACAAAGAAAAGAGGAAAGAGCCATGCGGTCCGAACATAAGGCTGTTGACTCCGTCGATTCAGAAAGCACCCTCTCTCTCGCTTCATAAAGCACCTGCTACGTCGCTGCTTGGTAGCATGGTGTGACAGCAGCGTTCCTACACCCTTTCTCGCAAACTACATAAGATTGCTAAACGAGGAGGACACAAATCATGTTTTGTCGACCTTGGCAGCTAGCTCTATTGTACCGTCTCCAGGTAACAACTATTGTGTTATTTTTTGCTTTCCACTTTACCCTCGAGGTATGCATATCATCAGCCTCTTCTCCCTCTCATATCCAAAGTACACAACGATTCTGACAACTACTCGACTTCTACTATAGCCTCGAGTTCTACCGGTATGTCGAGTGGCATCGAGCTCATGCCCACCGCTGATCTTGCGTGAATCCCCTTCTCCCCGAACGCCTGCATATACAACACCACGCAGAAAACTCAGAAATACAACAACACAACACACCGCGAACACGCGGGGGTTCTCGAGGTAATCAGAGAAAGCTTGTCCACGTCGCGATAAGGGAGGGAGGGAGGGAGGGAGGGAGGGATACACCATTGTCGTTTCGCTCATAGTCTACCGCAGTCTTACCCAGAAATGGGAAAAGCAGTGCGTAGTGGAGTAAAGAGGGAAGGCATCCGAATCGGAGTATATCAAGTATATACGGAGAAACGACGAGAACGGGAGTCAGTGGGTCGCTGGAGCGTTGTCAGGGCCTCAGAGGTACAGTAGATTCGCGTGTCTTGGACGTCGCGCGTGAAAAGAAGCTCCCATGCGCGTAGACCCCGTCGTCTTGCCTTCGCAACGCATCGTTTGCTCCGCAGTGTCGTTGGGGCAAGGCGAGCGCTTGCTTCAAAGAGTGGTAGGGTGCCGAGCGATGTCATAACCCTACCTAGCATCGACAGTGTATCTTTGACATGTTCTTCATCGATCCCGGAAAAGTCCCCACAGCAGAAGGAGGACAAATTCAATAATGAGTCACGCCAAAATAGTTACATCTACATACACGCAGCTTCAGCGGGGAACGCTTGCTTGCTTGAGTCGTATGCATACATACCTCAGCCAAGAGGTCGCTCGCCCCGTTGAGGATCGTCGGCTGCCCTGTGTAGCCGTCGACGCATTGCACGTAGCCGTTCAGCTTCACGATACGTGCAACTCGATCGAGATCACCCAGTTGATCTGAAAGTCAACCAACCGCGTTCACGGCCGAGCTCTGTGTGGTTGGTTGTGTGGGCTTGGGAACATCAAAAGAAAAAAAAGTTTGACCCCAAAAATGATTAGTATCCCTCAAACACCCTTGCTGAGAGGACCTTGACTATGCTACACATGCTTCACGAAGGGAAAATTGCAGTATCAGTATCGATGACTGCTGCTGCATACATCCAATCAGTTGTAGGCACCCGACATTGGCCAAAAGCTACCGCGGCACCGTCGGTAACTGGTTGCTCCCCGAACCCGGCGGTCCCAAACGCGACTTCTCAGATGCAATGTTCGCGCCAAAACGGCAGCACGCGTATTTCCGAAACCCCTCAGTGCTTGCTATCAAACTTACCCTTTGATCGGCCGAACTCTACGCGTCAATTGCTGTTCAATTGGGACGACCAACACAGCGCTACTATTTATTGTACTCTAGTACTGTATATGTGCCGGACACAAACGAGCAAGCTAAATGATGCATACGCGGGGAGGGAGTGCTGCACTCTTCTCGCGATAAAATCGACGGCAAAGTAAGGAGGGATGGGCAGGGGAAACCCTTCTGTGTGACCGCGGGTTGGAGTAAACGGCACAAGTGCTGTGAGCGCTGATTTGAAGTGAAGACAAGTCAAATTATATATACGCGGCGATCGAATCCCTCACATTTCAACGTGGCAAGCATATTTAGAGCAACCAAGTGGGCAGCTGCCACGCCCTCCTCCTCAGTGATGCTGTCACCCACCTAGCAGTTGACAGATCGAGACGGGACCAGACAGTGAAATGTTATATGCCTGTCAGATCACTAGACTACAGTACAGTACTGCTGTGCGAGATGAAGCAGTACGGCGCGCCGTGCAAGGAATTTGACGAGTTGCAACGTCGAGTTGCTCAAGGGGCAGACAATGCCCGAGCGCCATACATCGCGCATGGGTGAGCCACCCCTCTCTCCCGTAGCCACGGTACACAAACACACACACCCTTCGTGTACCAGAACAATGTGACGCTACAGCGGTACTCTGGCTTCGAGGACGAGGGGAGCATGCGCGCGATTGTGCGAGGTGCGCAACAGGGGGCGGACGATAAAGGCGAACAAACAAAAACATTGGCAACAGCTAGAGCAGCGTATGCGTATACCTTCGGCTGCGTGTTGTGGTTTCATTGACATGCATCGGCTGCGCTAGCGGGCCGACCAATGGGAAGCCGTCAGCTGCGGGACAAAAAAAAACAAACGCTATCTTGCCATCGGTCGCCCCCCCGGCAGTGGGGGGGCGTCTGTGTGTGCTTTCGTCTCCTCCAGTAGATATTTCCGAGGTAGTAAAAGCGGGTGGATGCAGGCAGGGCGCATGGTGTGCTTACCGTTCCCGTTAACAGGACCCCTTCTGGAGTCATGGGGATGTGCCCCGAAACGTACAACGTCTTGCCGGTCTGGTAGGCCACGACGTAGCTCCCTGCCAAACCCAACACCGAACAGATAAACATGCACGAACGCAAGAACATGCAAGTCGTGCCCATGTGAAAGGTTGACACGAAGGCGTTGTCCATCGTGTGTTACTGCGCGGAGTGACGAAAATCACCGTCTTTTCTTGTCTATATAGACGGGATCATTATCCTGTCTTCTCTCTTGCACCAATAACACCTTGTTTCCTCCGTATACAACGCGAGAGCAACGAGCGAACGAATCCACCCGTTTAGTCGAAACCAACCGGGCGCAACACAGCTCACTGCACGAGACCTCAACACACCGTTCTCCAAGTATGCACACCACGTGCAGGTAGTCTCTGCGTGTTGTATACAGACGTATACATTTTGTAGGAATAAAAACAGGGGTGTTCTGTTCGTGAATTTGGTCTTGGTGAATTGGGGATCCCGAGCACCAACGATGTGGGCCTTCGTGCTGTACCAATGGTAGATCAACGGCCAACCATTCATTGCCGACCAGAGACCAAAAAGCCGTTATTAATGGGACGGTCTGCACAAAAAACCGAGATATCCTTGTACAGGTCACCTGTATTAGCAAATAACAGTTGGTCAAGTCGTAGATCACGAAAATGTTCCCGACAGCGCTACCGCGGATTGCGGTGCTTTCTGAAGTAGGCCTCACACTCTACCCACTGCCCACAGACCAAGAGGGCTTGCACGAGAAGCTTGTTCCAGCACCAACCTGTTCACATGTTGGGAGTCTGTGCGCATGTTGGAATCTCTGCATACTCGTAATTACACCGCATTGACAGCAGCGACATTTAGCAGCAGTAGTGTGTGCATGCTTTACCTTAAACGCTGTGCATCCAGAAACAGGTGTACAACCAGGCTACAGAGCAAGACAATGACGGCGGGCCAACGCCGCACGAGTCTACGATGAGTGCAAGTATTGCGAGTCTCAGACTGCAAGCAATCCAAGCAGTACCTTGAGGTGGTACAATTGCCTTGGGAAGTTTGATGCCTTTGCTTTCAAGGTGCGCTTCGACATGGACCGCCCGACAGCACCTCCCCAAAGACGTTCGCGACTTCGCGCCCACTCGCGCCGCTGCTGATGCGATCATCCTCTGCATTGTGTGGCAGTTGGCAGGGAAAACGTGGGCGGCAGTGATAAGGGAGTGACGGTTCGCTCGGCAAAGATGTATCCTCCTGCTCCTGCTATCTGTAGGGACCCCGTTGCAATCAGGCCTTTGTCCAGCGACCACATTTGCAGAGCGCCGCCAAGTACAGCAGTCAGTAGACCAGAGGATCAACTTATCATGCTTCGTCGAGTGTCTTCGCTGGTTGGTCGAGCAGCGGTGCGCCCGCGTCGCGTCCACACCGAGGCGAAGCTGAAGGAGCTAGGAATCGAGCTACCCACGCCGAAAGCACCGCTGGGTAAGTGTTGAGACTTGAGCGCATGTTCTCAAACCAGGGCTACCTACGCTGCTCCTGTGGAGTTTCTTACAGCAGCACCTTCGGAGTTGACCAGGGGCCCCCAGTCAACAGAACTACTTTATGTTCAAAGCTAGCTGCCCACATTGTTTATGCATTAATCAGCACGACAACGAGTATGCTGCCGTTGTCAGGATGATGCGGCGTAATTAATTTTACTGCTGTCGCTCGCTCTCCAGGCAACTTCGTGATGACCGTGCGTACCGGGAACCTTCTCTATACCTCGGGCCACCTTCCGACAAGCCTTGAGGGGGAGACAACTACGGGCAAGGTGTGTGTCTTCACTGACAGCCTCTCCGCAAATCTCTTAATGTTGCGTCGTTGCACTTGGTGTTTCCACGTACATAGGGCACTTCACCTGACTCTTGTCACGTGCCAAAATCCGCCGCACCGTGTCCCTTCGCGATCGGTCGTCGATGCGGGATGCTGGGATGTTGTGCAGTGTGGTTGGAAGACGGCGGCAAGTGTTGTGTAGTGCTGTGGAGTTCGAAGAATGGTGTATGGTATCCTGGTGTGTAGTGGGTGCCATGCAGGGGAGGAACACCACGTGATGTGAGATTCACAGCCCATTTTCCAAACGGTCGTGTCCTATATCCTACACCTTGTGCCTAGAAAACGGTCTCAAGGTGGCAGCCAACGACAAGGCCGTGTTCAGAGCACACCATTGCGAATATGTAGGGACCGGGTTTGCTACAATAACATGATCGGTAAATCAGTAGCAGTGATAGGGCTGGCTAAAGCGGTTATCGCAAGATGACCACCTTGTGATGTTGCGGGCTAGTACATACTACAGTACCTGCTGTATCGAGTATTCAGAGAATCTTGTACTGGCTGTGACGTGTTCTTCCTCACTCACGCTGATCAACGTGTATCAAGTTTTCCACATATTCCAATGCACAACATGTTGTTCTCTCCTACTCATAGCATCCAACTTCGGTAGAGTGACGCCATTAACTTTCTCCAATCATTTGGCTACATGTTGTAAGGTTGGGCAAGAGTTGAACGAGGAGGAAGCGCAAGAGGCAGCACGCAAGGTCGCTATCCAGCTCATCGCATCCATCAAGAGTGAGTTGTGTCAAGCCAGTCACAGCGGGTGTCGTGCGAAAAGTGCACTTTTAGACCTGCACCTTCCTCGTCCCATCGGAACCGAACGAACGGTGATTATGATTTCCCTCTGCTTTCGTGTATCTAATGGCGGTGCTTGGGGCTGTTTTGCTGGCATACCCTTTTTATCGTGTACCAGCTACAGCCTGCGGCAAAGACGATGCACGCGTATTTACGTAAGTTGACACCAGTTGACTAAACCTCCGCCGCCGCCATAGCCGTTGCTGCTACCTCTGCTGCTACCGTATTGATATCATGCACCGTTGGCTTGCTTGCTGTTTTTTCCGGGGGGGGGGGGGGGGGGGGGGG